CTGAGCAGCTGTCACCCCCCTGTCCCCAGGATATGGAGCAGTTTCGGATCTCGTCCGCCCCCGAGGACGGGAGAGAGAAGTGTCCCCATGACCCAGCCAAAGGCTACACTGGGATCCTCGCAGGTATGGCCCGGCCCAGACGTCCGCAGCTCCTGGGATCCCGCTGTGACGAGATCCGTTGGGATTTCATCAAAGTTTCGCTAACAGAGGGCATCTCGGAAAGATAACGCACACAGCTAGAGGGTTCGAAAAGTAGTGGGCAGCACCTGCTCCTAGTTGTCGGATTTCCCTACTGGTTGTGCTCCCTGCGTCTATGTCTGGCTGCCCTCACCATCTTGTGTCCCTACTCGCCTCCGGCCAGTGATCTGAGGACTGTTCTTGTCTGCTGTTGTCGTGCACATTGCACAAGCAATTTGGATAGCACTCAAATTTTCAGTTCAAATCCACTGCTTTTTGTTGCGTTTTCAGCACATCAAATAACCCTGCAGAAAGCTTACTCTGGGTCAATGGATACAGAAATAAGATTTCTATATTTTAAATTTAGATGTAAGAAGAGCAGGAAATTAGATTTCCCTAATACCAGTAGAGGGTTCCATGGAGGAGATGCATCTTACCCAAGGGGTGCCAGCATAGTCTAATGTTAACCTCGGTGTACTACGTAAAGTCTGCAGTGGGCTTGCAGTCTGTCCTCCTTAAAGCTCCCTCTTAATCCAAGTTAAACTGGTGAAGTAATTTCTTGGCTTCCAAACATCACCCAGGTCGATGAAATGGGTATTTTTCTGTTGATGTGGGATGAAAAGTGGTAATTATTTTAGCCAGAATCCGGATTCTCAGTGATTTTTGGAAGTTGTCATTCTTTGTCTAGAGCAGTTTTGTTTATGCAAGAGCATCAAATATTAAGTACAGCTGTTATCTGTAGAGTTTGCCTGTAAGAGTCTTGGAGTGAGGATATCCAGAGAGGATAACAGCCTGTTATTGACAATTCTGCGTTTGGCCAGAGAGTGGACACGCAGGCGTGCAGTTTGCTGGTGTGTGTGCGCGTCACAGACGGCAGGCCTGGAACGATCTGGAGGGAGCAGTGCTGCATTGTGGGGGAAATCTGGCGTCTGGGGGGAATTTGTGTGATGGAGAGTGAACAGAGCTTATGAGTTAAAAAACAAGTCTTTCACATGTACCACAATATCACATCCACCTCCAAATATTCAGGGTAACAGAAATAACTGTTATCTTATTGATAAGAGAACTGCGCTCTGCTAAGCTTTTTCAGTCTTCAAAACTCAATCATCTTTCCAGACAGGGGGATTGTGGGGGGGTGGCAATGCAGTTACGTGTAGTGGACTATTGGAATTCATTCCCGGCAATGTCGGACTAGTCAATACCCTGTCACCCTGTTTGGTGCTCCCAGTGGCTGGTTAACACTTCCACAATTGCTGCCTTTCTCCGCAGACGGAGAGATGTACTCCGCCTCGCAGTACGAGTTTCGCAGTCTTCCTGACATCCGTCGCAACTTCCCCTATCCCACGCTGAAGACAGAAGAGGCCCCCACCCGCTGGCTGTACGGTGAGTGACGTGGGGGCAGGGGAGGCCGGGGGTGCAAGAGGCCGGGGGTGCAACGCACTACATTCGTGTATCGATTTACACATTTTGCAAGAGCAGCACATTCAAGCCATCACTGGGAAAGCCACTGGATCACACCTGCAGTGATGGCCGAAAGCTTGTACACCACTTCCATTTATGATTTATGGGGTTGTTCCTTTCATGACAAAAACCACAGCGGGATAAACAGTCCGTGCTTAGTCCGTATTAGGGGTCATTTCTACCCTCTCAGTTTCGCAGACAAACGGAAAAGGTG